TTTCCTCTTCCCGAGCGCCACGTGGGCAGGCACCACACCAGTGGCGGCCTGGCCCGACCCTGGGTCTTGGGCAAGTTGCGTGCGTCAGCTTCCGCACCAGTGGGATGGGGTAATGACAGTACCTCGCTCAGAGGGGTTCTTGTGAAGATTAAACGTGAAGTCCCTATGCACAGTGTCTGGCACAAAGTCAGGGCCCAATAACAGCTGTTGTTATTGTCCCAGGATTCATTTTCAGCAGAAGTCCTGCCCTGCATTCCCGGCATTTTCACCCAGGTCGCCTATTTACTTCTGGTTGGCAGAGGTAAGCAGGGTGTGCCCTGCCATACTGGCTCCCCTCCCCACATCAGTTTCTGTATTTGGTGGTTAAAAGTCTCAAGTCTAGCCGGGCTCGGTGGCTCCGCCTGTCATCCCGCGCCTTTGGGAGGCTGAGGTGAGTGGATTGCCTGAGCCCGCGGGTTCGAGACCCATCTGGGCAACCTGGCGACACCTCATCTCTACAATAAACCAAAAATCAGCCGGGTGTGGTAGCGCATGCCTGTAGTTCCGGCTACTCGGAAGGCTGAGGCGGAAGGATCGCCGGAGCCCAGCAGGTCGAGGCTGCGGTGGCCGGGAGCGGCCACTGCACTCCAGTCTGGGCGACCGAGTGAGACTCCAACTCAAAAAAAAAAAAAAAGTCTCAAGTCTGTAGCCAGAATGTCTGGGTTCACATCCACATCCTCCACCTACTTCCTGACTGATTTTGGACAAGCTACTTAACTTCTCTGTGCTTCTATTTTGGCTCTATAATGACTGCAAGAGTACCTGCTTACATGTTAAAATAAATGACTTAATGTAAGTTGAGTGCTTAGAATTGTGCCTGGCCTGGAGTAACTACTCAGTGTTTGTGTATTATCCACTGCTTTGGCCTTGGCCTTGGTTCCCTATTGACAGTCACAGGTTGTATTCACCCTGCAGCTGTTTGGGGAACTGCCTACCCTCCATGCACCCAGCATCCCCACAGCCCCACTTCCAAGGAAGAGAATCCTACCTAAAGAGAGCTTGTGGAGAAGAGTTCCCAAGACTTCAATGAATATAATTAAGTGTATTAGCAGCAATTAATCTTCCCTCTTCCCCCCGCGGGAGCCCTTTGCCTCCCACACCCGGTTGTTCTAATGCTGTTTGTCCAGCACCTCCCAGTTCTCACCACCCCCACGGTCAAATTTATTTCCAAACTCTGCCGCCCTCTTCCCTTCCCACGCTGGATTCTGGACCCTGAACCCTATTCCCGGCCTGCATCTGATGTCACTTCCACTGATGCCTGTCTACTGCTCTTCACCCTGAACAAACTTAAAAGGCCTCAGCCTCCCTCAACATGGGTAATTGGTCATCTCACGAAGAATCAATAATACTAGAAAGAGAACAAGGAGATACCATGCTTACCTCTCAAAATAGCAAAGACTAAGACAATATCCTAATACACATGGCAAAGGTGGAGTTAGTAAGACTGGAGGGCGCACTGGCTCGCCAGCATGCGCGCACTCACCACCGACGGCCATAAACGTGGGTATCATCTTTCTGAAAAACATGGTAATATACAGTCAAGAGTTTCAAAAGTGTTCTTCTTATTGGACCTAATAATCAACTGTCAGGAAAATGTTTCTCTTAAAAAGAGCTGCCAGAAAAATATGTATGCCCAAAGTCTTTCATCGCTGCAATGTGTATCACACAGAAAGGTTAGAAACGTCAAGCTTCAACAACAGGGATGTTTAAATTACGTCAAATGCATACAAGGAAATACAGCCATTAAAAATTGTTCTTGCCCGGGCTTGGTGGCTCAGCCTGTAATCCCAGCACTTTGGGAGGCCGAGGCGAGTAGATTGCCTGAGCCCATGGGTTCGAGACCCACCCGGGCAACTTGGCGAGCCCTCGTCTCTACAATAAATCAAAAATTAGCAGGGCATGGTAGCGCGCACCTGTTGTTCCAACTATTTGGAAGACGGAAGGATCACCGGATCCCAGCAGGTTGAGGCTGGGGTGGCTGGGAGCGGCCACTGCACTCCAGTCTGGGCAACACAGAGTGAGACTCCAACTCAAAAAAAAAAAAAAAATTGTCCTTGGGCCAGGTGCAATGGCTCAAGCCTGTAATCCCAGCACCTTGGGTGGCCGAGGCAAGAAGACTGTCCGAGCTCAGGGGTTCAAGACCAGCCTGGGCAACTTGGTGAGCCCTCATCTCTACAATAAAACAAAAAATATGCCGCGCCTGCTAGCGTGCACCTGTAGTTCCAGCTACTTGGAAGGCTGAGGGGGAAGGATCACCTGAGCCCAGCCGGTTGAGGCTGTGGTGGCCATGAGCAGGTCATTGCACTCCAGTCTGGGCGACAGTGAGACTCCAACTCAAAAAAAAAAAAAAAACTGTAGAATTTTTTTCATGATGTGAAAATGTTCACAATATAAAGTTGGGTGAAAATATCGATACAAAAAAACTTAGGCGTACATATGGTCCTAATTACGTGATACATATGCATAGAAAAGAAACACTCTTAAAAAGTTTACAATTAATTATCTGTAGTGGTGGAATTATGGGTTGCATTTACTTTCTTCTTTATGCTTATCTGCATTTTTTAAATGATCTACAGTATGTATCCATTACCTGTAGAATCAAGGTGATGGAAATCAACAAAGACCTGTACAAATCTGTACTCACCCCTACTACCCAGACTGCCCCAGGCTGGATCTTAACTCCAGACCTAAAAGTAAACCATTCTTAATATGGCCCCTACATTGGTCTTGGGGTCCTTAAGAATTTTTAGGCTGCTGGGCTCTCAAGAATGAATAAAATAAATCTCAGATTTAACAGTCACTATGTAACCACATAGAATGTCATCTATATTCTGATAAGATGCAAATGTCGACATAGTTTTGAGGGGCAATCTTGCACAGGTTAGGCCTTCTTAGTATCCCCCTTAATCCAGACCTACCTACCTAACCAGCCAATAGGTAGTCATCCCTGCCTCCACCCAGCCCAGGCAAACCAGTTCACAAATCCCTGTATGTTCCTCCCTAGCCCCATAAGTGACACACCCTGTACAGCCCTCCCGTTTCCAGGCCATCTGGTGTATTGTCACTGCTAGGAAGTGTACCCTGATTACAGCTAAGCACCAATCTCCCCCACCTACTAGACACCAGCAAGAATGTCAGTGAGGTCTCATTGTGTATGTAGAACAGAGCTTGGGAAGTGAAGGAGTGAGTCATCACAGGCTTTTTTCACACAGAAGGCTTTAATGTTGCCTTTGAGCCTCTGGAATTACCCCTAGCTCTAAACACAGCTTCCTCCCCTTCTTGTCTGTTCCCCCGAACAGTTCCTTAATTGGCCCTCCTGGAAACCCAGGTCCCTTATGATGGGACACTCTGTTTCTCTGAAGAACTGTTTCTTTACTTCTGGTCTCCAGCTCACTTGGGGTGTCAGCCTTCCTAGGCCAGAACACTCTTCATGGGTGTTAAGCTTAGGAGAGAACACCTGCTACTCCAGAAAGATCCTGGGCCAGGACTATTTCCCAAACTCTTCCTTATGCCTAGACCCTTCTAGACACGAGTCGTTCAGATCTTGCTTTTCAGCCTCTCCCAGCAGCCAACCCCCCCTTACCATCACTCCACTCACCCTACGCTGTGTCCACAGCACCTTGCAGCTGTATGCATCTGTCCTCGAGTCCCCAGATTTTAGCCAAACCCCTTAAACTTGTCACTCAAGGCCCTTCACCCGCAGCCCCAATTCCCTTTTCTGTCTTCATCGCCAGTCCTCCAGTTTTCTGAGCACACGTTGTAACCTGCGCCTTGATGCTTTGATTCCTCTCCTTGATGCTCTCTCCTCTCCCCAGAATGCTTGTCCCCAGTTTTGCTGTTCTGCTTCTCTGTGGAAAGTCTGTTCATTTGACAATTGCCTTGTTCTTTCTTCTACCATAAAACTTATCAGCCTGGCAGTGAAATGTGTATGTAACTGCCTCTCCTACCCAAGGGTGGAGGCTAGATTTAAACAGCTCTAAATTCCCCAGCACTGGCGCGGTATCCCTTTAAGGTGCTCTTCTGTGAATTTCCCCCGCCTCCACCTATGGAATAAAAGGTCCTAGGCATTCCTCATCCTTCCCGTCCCCCCATTCCATCCAGGAGAAGGCTTTACCCACAAGCTGTCTAGGACAAGGCTTACCGCTGTACAGAAGACAGACCCTGAGCTTTCTCCTTAACTCAGGAAACATGCCCAAATTCCCTGGGGAAACAGTGGATCCTTTTTTTACTCAAAAGGGTGTGGTTATAAAGGGCGAGGAACCAAGACACCTGAGCTCTAGGTCAGACTCTGCTATTAACTCAGAGGAGGCTGGGATGTGGGTGCGGGAGCCCTCGGGAATGAGATAATGGCCACCTCCATCCTCTTGAAGGGCTCAACCCCTGAAAAACCTCTTGTTCCTTGCATTTATTTGCATCACAGAGGGTGAGATTAGGGGCACACATGTGGGAAGTGTACCCCGCGTTGAGCTTTTCTGTGCTTCAGTTTGCTCACCTCTAAAAGGAAATAGTGTGACATGCCCTACTCACTTTGCCAGGACACGGTCCCTAAGTGTGATCATAAAGCAGAATACCTGAGTCCAGGGGTTTGAGACCAGCCCGGGAAACTTGGCGAGACCTCACCTCTACAATAAATCAAAAAATTAGCTGGGCGTGGTGGCAGGTGCCTGTAGTTCCAGCTACTTCGAAGGCTGAGGCAGAAGGATCACCTGAGCCCAGCTGGTTGAGGCTGTGGTGGCCGTGAGCGTGCCACTGCACTCCAGCCTGGGCGACAGAGTGAGACTCCAACTCGGGGGAAAAAAAAGAATAGCCCCAGGAAAGGCACGGGAGCTGACCACGGAGGCAGGCAGTCCCTAGCATCGCGATGGTGCATGTACAATCTCTCGAGGCCCAGCGAGCACTAGGAGTTCCCTCACTCAGCTCAGTAGTGAGGAGGGGGACCTTCGGCCAAGGAACAAAGCAGAAGCAGCAGGAAGTTTGCAGAGGCACTAGCAGAAAAAGGAACAAGCTCAAACACTTTCCTCATATGTGAAACAAGCTGGTGTTTCCCTTTGAGTTCATGCGTTTGCCCAAGAGTTCTCTCACCCGCTGCTTATGTGGGTGTGGGAGATCAAAGGACACTGGTTTGTCTTACTAAACTATACGACCTTGAACAAGTTACTTAACCCTCAGGTCTCAGTTATCTGGTCTGTAAACTGGGGACAATAGCAGTTACCTTGAAGTTATTGTGAGAATTAACTGGTATGAGCCACATAAATCATCCAGCAATGATTAGTTATCAGAACAACCATAATATACAGTAATCAGTTCCTGGCAGTCCCATGCTTTGAACAGTGCTGCCTTCAGCACAGCTCTGGCCTCAGTATGAATTACGAATATTTTAGGCAGGCAAAGGCAGTGCGGTATAATTACCGAAACCTTATAGCCAAGATGCCAAGATAGTCGGTTTCAAAGAGACTCTCCGGTTTTCCATTAAGTCAGTAAGCACTTGCCAATTTTGGACTGGGAAAACATGGGCCCCATTGAAGGTGGCGCAGCCACTGCCTGTTTCTCTGTCAGCCCCAAGTCTGAGCTCCCAGGTAGTCAGTGAAAGGGGGTGCTAAGGAAGAAGATGAGCAGTGATGTCTCTGGATACTGGGAGGTGGAAAACCTGAGACTGCCTCCCAGTTTCTCAGTCCAACTGGTCACTGCTGTTCAATTCCAGCTCTAGAAGGAAAGAGCAGATTAAGTCCTTCTAGCTCAGTCTTCACCTTGGCTGTATGTTAGAATCACCTGGGGAATTTTAAAACCTTCATGCCTGGGCTGCACTCCAGACCAATTCAATCAGTATTTTAAAAGCTCTTGGCCAGGGTCAGTGGCTCAAACTGTAATCCTAGCACTTTGGGAGGCCGAGGTGAGTGGACTGCCTGAGCCCGCGGGTTCAAGACCAACCCAGGCAACTTGTGAGACTTCGTCTTTACAATAAATAAAAACTTAGCTGGGCGTGGTAGCACACGCCTGTAGTTCCAGCTGCTTGGAAGGCTGAGGTGGAAGGATCGCCAGAGCCCAGCAGGTCGACAGTCAATGCCGGGTTGGCCGAGTGTGCCACTGCACTCCAGCCTGGGCAACAGAGTGAGACTCCAACTCAAAAAAAAAAGCTCTCCAAGCCAGGTGCAGTGGCTCACGCCTATAATCCCAGCACTTTGGAAGGTGGAGGTGAAAGGATTGCCTGAGCTCAGGGGTTCAAGACCAGCCTGGGCAACTTAGCGAGACCTCGTCTCTACAATAAATCAAAAAATTAGCTGGGAGTGGTGGCACAGACCTGTGATTCCAGCTACTTGGAAGGCTGAAGCAGAAAAATCACCTGAGCCCAGCAGGTAGAGGCTGTGGTGGCCGGAGCATGCCACTACACTCTGGCCTGAGTGACAGAGTGAGACTCTGACTCAATAATAATAATAATAATAATAATAATAATAATAACAACCAAAAGCTTTCCACATAAATACCAACATTCACCAAAAGTTGAGAACAACTGTTCCAGACCAGGGTTTTTCAAATTTGCCAGAGGATGATCATTACCAGTATTCATTTAAAATACTAATTCCAGCGTCACTGGATTTTGCCGTTGCTGTTTGAGACAGGGTCTTGCTCTCTTGCCCAGACTGAAGTACAGTGGCACAATCTTAACTCATTACAGCCTTGAACTCCTGGGCTCAAGTGATCCTTCTGCCTCAGCCTCTCAAATAGCTGGGACTACAGGTGTACACCACCATGCCCAGCTAATTTTATATTTTGCAGTGACGGGGTCTCATTATATTGCCCAGGTTGATCTCAAACTCCTGTCTGACCTCAAATAATCCTCCCACCTCAGCCTCTCAAAGTGCTGGGATTACAGGTGTGAGCCACTGGGCCCAGTCTCTTTGGAATTTTTTAATCAAGTGTGTCTGGCTTTGGAATTAAAACTATTACTGGAATTTATTGATTCTGAATCATTCCCTTTTATATAGAGAGAGAGATCACGTAAGACTTGATGAAACACAGAAACAAGCACCGCAGGCGACTGATTCTTAAGATTAGAAAGTTTGGGGGAAGGAGTTCCCTAGGACAGTACTTGCCAACTTGTATTGTCTTTAGAGACACCAGAGATCTTGTTAAATGTAGATTCAGAATCAGAAGGTCTGGGTTAAGGCCTAAGATTCCGCAGTTCTAACAGGCTTCCAAGTAATCTGATGTTGCTGGTCCTTGGACATTTGGGGTTGCAAAATTCTCCAGTCTCCCCAGCTGAGGAGGCGTCACCAGCAGGACTCATTTAAGTTCATTGACTTAACTGGCATGGGGAAATCCGACCAGTGAAGAGTCTTCAGTGTCTGTGAGGCAGTTGCTCCACTGCACCCTCATTTCTCCTCCAGGAAAGGGAAGCTGGGATGCAGGCCAGGAGAGCTGCCCCAACCTTTGAGAAGCCAGGGTGTGGGGTCCAATTTCCCGAAGGAAGCAAAGTCTGTGGTATGAGGCAGTCCAACCCCCCACGACACACCAGCAAAGTCACTTACCAAGTGAAGCTGGGCCTCAACTGGCTTCAGCGGGTCAAAGGGATGCAGTCCCATTCTCTCTACCATATATCCTGATTCTACACGTATTTATTCAACAAACCTTTACTGATGATCCATGAATAAATGACAAGTTCAGAAGTTTTCGGAGGTGAATCAGATATGGTTTCTTGAGCTGATGGTCTCTTGAGATGATCAGATATTGTCCTTTTTGGGGGGAGGAATTCACAGTAGGAAACAGAGTTGTCAAACATGATGCAATAGTTAGTGATAAGTGCTAATAACAGAAGTAAGTACACAGAGATGAACCAACACAGAGAAACAATGCTAATAGCTTCCTGGAGCAGCAACCACTGAGGGAGCTGGGTAAAACATCCCTACTCTTTCCAAGGAAGGAAACCACCCCAAACAAAAATGCCTTGCCAGGACCTGTCTATGCTAAATGTGTAGCTTTGATACTTGGAAGCCCTTGAACTCAAGACCCTATAACCTGGAGGCTCTACACAGGGGATGCTTCCCACATATGTGCCCCTAATCTCAAGTTCTCTGATGCAAATAAAGTCAAGGAACAAGAGGCTTGTAGGGGATGAGCCCCTCAAAAGGATGGGGGTGGCCATTATCTTATTCCTGGGTTCTGTGGTACTGGTATCCCACTCTCTTCTGTCAGACCCAGCAGGTCATTTCCCTCGTGAGTCTTTACCTTTTGCTGTATTGACAAAGCTCTTAATTGGCTTGACCCATCACGCTGCTAGATATAAAGGCTACAATCCCTAGACTAAGAAGTAGGTCTCCAGGTGGGGAAGGGAGTTGCAGCCCATGCAGGCAGAGGACAGGAACCCATAGCCTGCTCTCTCACCCAGCCGCACCCGGACCAGCTTTCCGGGGAGCTAAGGAACGGACACTCCATCCCAACTTGCTTTTTCCTTTTCTTCCATCTCACATCTAGGAAACTTTACAAGAGTATCTTAAGAGCCTGAGGAAGCAGCCGAGGAGCAGACAGCAGAGATGGGGAGTGGAGCCAGTGCTGAGGACAAAGAACTGGCCAAGAGGTCCAAAGAGCTAGAAAAGAAGCTGCAGGAGGATGCCGACAAGGAAGCCAAGACCGTTAAGCTGCTGCTGCTGGGTGAGTAGGATCTGAGAGGAGCCAAAGAAGGCAACGCTCCTTCCCTCTCTCCTGCAGGGCCAGTGGGTTCTAGCCCCACTCCACGGAAGGAGAGGTGGCAGGTCATTTCCCCTCTCCTCTCCCCAGGGGGTCAGGAACTCTAGGGACAAGTAAAAATGTGGGCCGCACAGCCACCCAAGGGGATCCAGAATCCCCAAACTACTCTGGAATTTTTCTACACTTGGACCAAGAAGAGTATGAGGGGTAGGAAGGGCCCAGCCATCTCCAAATCTAATCAAACATAACACCTTCTTTTGGCTTGAGTAAATACCAAGAACCCCAGACTTGCAGACTCATACCCAATCTGCAGTCAAAAAACTTCAAGCCACGGAATCAGAAAAGGACTTCCCCTCACCCATAGACTCAGAAGCCCCACCATCCAATCAGTGCCACATAATCCCAGAGACAGGCCCCGTGGTTCTTGCCAGGTATACTGGTTCCTTCTCCTTGCTTTTAGTAAACATTTTGAAAGTAGGAAGCCCTGCGTGAGAAGGAACAGTCTTCTACAGCAGTCCCTTCCTGGCTTTCTTTTCAGTCACAACCTCTAAATCCCCTGCCAGATGGGAGGCTCATCAACGTGATGAGCTCCTAAGCAGATCACTGGTCTTTGCTGAAAACAAAGGTACCTCAATTGGTTGGTGAAGGAAGCTGATCATGGCTTAAATAGAACCAAGACAAAAACAAAAAACAGTGGTACTAGAGAAGTAGGTTAGCTGGAGCAGGCAGGGACTATGCAACAGAAGACCAGACGCCTGGGCTGGGTTCCCAAGCCCAACGCGGGGCATGGGAACTGACGCACCAGGCTAGGTGCTTTCTTTTCTCCCAGCTGATCTGTGGCACACCCCTAAGGGTGCGTATCTCTGTAAGCTGGACCCAGACTCTAGTGAGCCCAGGTTCCCCAGGGGGGACAGTGACTACGAGGCCACGGAGATTTTCTAAGCCTAAGCAGATTTCTTCTAGGTTCAGGATAAGCAGCTTAGCAGGAACAAGCACAGGCTAAGCGGAAGGAGGCTGAGGCATTAGGGCATGATGGGCTGAGACAGGGTTGAAGGTGTGTGTTTTTCATGAAGGAGCGCAGAGTTTGGATGAGGCCATTAGGACATTTAAATCAATACAGGGAACCAGCCCAGTGACAAGAGGATCGTGTTTCAGTGAAATGATCCAGCTCTCTCCAATCCTGCCTCAAGATCATTCTCCCAGAGTCAGAAATAGGCAGAGAGGAGAAATGTGTTTAAGGACTTTCCCTGAATCTTTTCGTGGCTCTTAACAGGAAGATTTTTGACTCTCCCTCTCCCCCACTGCCTCCAGCCCTTTGGAAACGCCTGGAGACATTTTCTTGGTTGTCACAACTGGGGGAGTGGGGTGCCGTCAGCCTGCAGTGGGAAAAGGGTAGGAATGCTGCTAAACATCCTACAAAGGACAGCCCGGCATGTAAACAGTAATGAAGGCAAAAACTACGCTCAATTCAGGTCAAGTGGCCTGAGCTCGTCTGCCAGAAATGGAAAGTGGCAGGCATCATAATGGCTATCACCCATCCCTATGCATTCTCCCCCAGCGAGGCTCCTAAGCAGGCAGTAGCTCTGACCTCTGACAGGTCACCTCCTGGAAGGTTGGGGAGAACTGAAGATCGGAAGCGTAACAAGCATTTTGCCTTCCAGGTGCTGGGGAGTCAGGAAAGAGCACCATCGTCAAACAGATGAAGTGAGTAGATACAAAACTCCAAGGTCTGGGATAGGGTGAAGAAGTCTGATCATGGCTTAAATAGAACCGAGACAAAAGGTCCTGGGCAAGGAAGGCTCTTTAGCCTCAAGGAACCCAGACACAAAGGACCCAATGCCGGTACCCCTCATCATTGTGCCCCACCCTCCACTTTGAGAAAGTAGTAGGAACAGAGAGAAAGGGTTGTTATGACCCTTTAAAGACCCCAGATTCCCAGTCCCTTAGGTCTGGTTACTCAGGTCTGAGTGTCTGCCCCTTGCAGGATTATTCACCAGGATGGCTATTCGCCAGAAGAATGCCTGGAGTTCAAGGCTATCATCTATGGGAATGTGCTGCAGTCCATCCTGGCTATCATTCGGGCCATGTCCACGCTGGGCATTGACTATGCTGAACCACGCTGTGCGGTATGTGATCAGTGTGATGTGGTTGAGGGTGGAGCAGGAAAGGCAAATGAGAAGAAACAGACCAGAGGCCGACAGACTCTAAGGAAAGCTGGAAAAGAAAAATAGTTCTATGTGAACTGGAATCCCACTGGCTGAGCCTCTGTCTTATTCAGTCCTGGAGAAGTAGGCAACCCCAACTTTTTTTTTTTGAGTTGGAGTCTCACTATGTCGCCCAGACTGGAGTGCAGTGGCCGCTCCCGGCCACCACAGCCTCGACCTGCTGGGCTCCGGCGATCCTTCCACCTCAGTCTTCCAAGGAGCTGGAACTACAGGCGTGTGCTACCATGTCCGGCTAGTTTTTGATTTATTGTAGAGATGAGGTCTCGCCAAGTTGCCCAGGCGGGTCTCGAACCCGCAGGCTCAGGCAATCCACTCACCTCAGCCTCCCAAAGGCGCGGGATTACAGGCTGAGCCACCGAGCCCGGCTGCAACCCCAACCTTTTAACAAATACTTACAAAATATGCTCCCAGTTTTCTTTGACTGTTTTTTTCCTATCACTATTTTACCATTTAACTTGCTCTCCTTGGGCTCCTAGCCATAGAACTCTTATAAGCTAAATCCCTAGTTCGAGTATTGGCCTTTTTCTAGCTTTAGATCATTGAAAGAACAAAAGTGATGGGCCCTTGTCATCAGTCTTGTCTATTTCACGGCCAATTTGGCCTTTACACTTCAGTCTCCCTGCAGCAGAGGACCTGTTTTCGTGGTGGTCCATTTTCAGACTAGGATGAAAGCCAGAAACTCCAGCACAGAAGCACTGGGGTCCCCTGCCATCCTCTGGGCACCCCGGGGCTGGATACACTGCCATTCTCTACATCTAGGGGCATACTCAGACATTAATCAGTATGTTTTCTTAGCTAGAATCTTCTTCACTGGAGACTGCCTCCACCTTAGGCATTGGCAGCAGTATAAAATGCTGTCCACTCAGCAGTGCCCAGAAGCTCCCTGGAAAACTATTAGTCCTGAGAAATTCTCAACCAGGCTTCTACACCGCAGGATGATGGGCGGCAGCTCAACAACCTGGCCGACTCCATCGAGGAGGGAACCATGCCTCCCGAGCTGGTGGCGGTCATCAGGAGGCTGTGGAAGGACGGCGGTGTGCAGGCCTGCTTCGAGAGAGCCGCAGAGTACCAGCTCAATGACTCAGCATCCTAGTAAGACTCTGATGGGGCGGCAGGGGTGGGAGGGCATGTAAGCAACCTTCCAGGAGAAATCTCACCAGCCTGAAATTTCAGGCACTGAAAGCTGGAGACCCACAGACTGAATTCAGCCCGTAGGTGTGCTGTGTTAGGACTGGGCAGTGTTTCTGCTGTGCTTTGAATTTAATGCGGGGGGACATCTAGCACAGTTACTGCCATGCGATTGTTTCCACTGGCTCACTGCCGCTTACGAAGCTGAAGAGGCAAAATTCAAAGCAAAGGTGCTCTGCCTTGTAGCCCTCAGTCCTGCTCTCTTAACTGAGTTGCACACTTAGCCTCTCCGTTCGGACCCTAAGGTAGCCCTGCAGTGCTGCCACACACTCTCCTGGGAGGCATGTGATTCAAGGGGCAGGGTTTCAGGGCAGAATTTTCTAGCTGGTAATCCAGGCTCTACTTAGGCCACTAAGCAAAAGTGAAAGTCTCTTACACCTAGAGCACTTCTGTCAGGATGTCAGAGCAGGGACACAGCAACTCCCAGATCAAACCATAGGAAGGTGACCAGGGATTAGAGAGAACCAGTCTTGCAAAGCTGATTCCAAAAAGACAAGGGACAGAGTTATCAATCCTACCTCAGATAGTAGGGGATCAGGGACAGGCCTGGGTCTCCAAGTCAAACAGACCCAAGCTTAAGGTTCATCTGTCACCTAATCTTGCCATAATGTTATCACTTACTATTCCTGGAACACTCAGTAAGGTCCCTTGTCACTGCTAGGTGCACTACGCACACCATCTGAAGACTCTTTACCCATCTGTGCACTAGGATGTCAAGGTAGACAGTACTTTTTATTAGTCCCATTTTTATGGATGAAAAACTGAGGCTCAGAGAAGTTAGTTTGTCCAAGGTCCTACAGATAAATGGCAGAGGCTAAATTTGCATCCAGGTTTATCTACTTGACTATAAAGTTATATATTTCTCATAGTGTACCACAGTGCCTCTTGACCCTAGGCAAGTTATTTAACTCTTCTGAATTTCTCCCTCATCTATAAGATTCTGGGAATATGAAATGTGAAGGCTTAGGAGTTTGAGAATTTAAATGTGAAAATGCATGGGCTGGGTTCAGTGGCTCAGCCTGTAATCTCAGCACTTTGGAGGCTGAGGCGAGTGGATTGCCTGAGCCGGTGGGTTCGAGACCCACCCGGGCAACTTGGCAAGACCTCGTCTCTACAATAAACCAAAAATTAGCTGGGCGTGGTAGTGCATGCCTGTAGTTCCAGTTACTTGGAAGGCTGAGG